TGCCAACCGACCCTACCTTCAGTTCATACTACCTAAATTGAACTCTAAATATAGTGTTCTGCCGAATCTTGCTCCACTATTCACAAAACCTATTCTTCTTACTCCTTAAGAGTTTAACATCTTATAAACTAATCTGTTCATTAGGACGCACGCACACATATATAATATGTTCATAAATCTGTATGTGGAGATCTATTGGAAGCACTCACTAAGAAAGCTGGGGAAATGGAATGTGAGGTACGAACGTGTCTGGAACCAAGCAATATATTTGATGTAGCCATAACAATCAGAGCCTAACATCATAAAAGGAGGGAGGGTGTCGCATGCTGATCAGTAGATATGGTGGTGGACACTAAGGTGAATTCCCTCATTCTGCAGGAACAGCAATATGCAATTTGACCGCTCGAGATTTCTATGAGGGCTTGAATCTTTATCCTGAAAAACATAATAATGATCGCCTGGACAGATCGTGCTTCTACCTCTAAACAAATACCATTCGGTCAGCCTATTGCTGAGATGCGACCACGTGGGCTCTGCACATATTTGTGGGGCATCTGATAAATTAACGTGCTTTCCTTTGTGGTATCTTCGAATATCACTTCACAATGTCTCATCTCATTCATTTCCTAATAACGTCTTCACTTGCTCATTATATTCCACGTAACCTAACATTTTATAGCTCTTTATGAATTCGTTTCGACTTATTCTATTCCTATTCTCTATAGGGTACTGTTGTGCACCAAATACACAAAAAGGTATGAAATGAAAACAACTGGCTTGTGGATAATTGTATTAAAACCAAAAGTGGACATCATGATAGTAAGACCTATATGGGTGGCATTATATATTGCAAATGAACTTTGTCAGCCTAGGGATTATAGTCTCCCATTGTATTTCCTTTATGAATGCATCTATTAATGATACATTGCATTTGCCTATTTCATTACACTTTAATGATTCACCTTAGCACCTTTACTTTACTAAACAGCCTACTATCTCTTGCAAACGTAGTACTTACCTCGATATTGGTTAGTTATCGTATGCCTACAACCACGGGTTGAAAACGAAACGAAGTCAATTTTCCCTTGCAATCTGGAGAACTACTGTGCAATTCAATAATCAGACAATGAGTGCATTTGCATATATATCAAATATTGAGCTGTTCAAACATTAACTTGTAGACAATCTATTATTTGACATTATATCATACTTGATCGTGCCTGTAAAAACGGCATACATTTTCATATAAATTTATGTTTATATGAAAATATAAACTATTATTATTATCAGGGCTTAGTTTTCTGTATAAATGCCCATCCTGTGGTCAAAAGGGGATGGAGCACTTCTCTGATTAACAACTCTTCCTGTATTCAGCCCGTCAAACCCATACTTCATGAAGGCGGATCACACGAAGTGGTCAGTTAAGAAATTACATTTGAGCGACACATGCCGTTTACCTTCGTGCTGTATCAGATTTTGGACCAATGGTGTAGAGAGCACACAGTATTGAAACACAGTTTCATTTTAAATGGGTCTAGCGCACTCCATGAAGGCTGGAAGCTATTCCTTCCCCAAGGGCCATTGATAAGGCTGAATTGAGACAGCTTCTGACCCTTATGGAAAATGCATTGGCTTAATAAACCATATGTAACATGCAATTCGGCCCAAGTCAGTAATCTTCAATGATAGATCTGGTTCTACAGCATTGTACAGACCACAAGAATACTCTGTTTCCATTCTTTTCTAGTCAATAATGACTCTCGTGTGCTATTATTTAACATCAGGCATGTCTGTTGTCTGAGTCTGTCTTGAAGTTTGGGATTCATGTATCAAGCCATTGAATATATATATTTATTTATTCCTGTTTATGCAGGAACATACCAATTTTACAGGCATGGATAAGTTACTATATAAATTACAGTTTGTTTGTTCAATCTAACATTAGAGTCAGTCAGAACAGTCTGCAAAATTGTCTGTCTGTGTAACACATAAAGAGATATAGAAATATTGTCTTCGCATTAACAAAAAACCCAGACATCAGATGAATGTGATACAAATATCTGGGAAAAATAAAGCTTGAAGTCAATTCTCCTATAAAACTTTGTTGTGAACAGCATCCGCGAGATAAAGTTTATTGATGTATTATTTTGATTCAATAATGTATTTATTCCATTTTTGTCAGCAGTCTTATCGTAGTTTTATAATAGGAAAGAAATTTGATCTTTGATACGAAAATTAGATAAGGTAATGTTAAATTGTTTTACTGCATCAAATGGGGTCAATTCTAGAACTATCCATTTGCGCCATTTGCGTCAGCATGGCAGACTGTACATGTAAGTTGAGTAATACATTGATAACTGTTTGAAAACCAGTTGTTTCTTTATATCAGATCAAGAATACAATATTCAGCGAAGAGACTCTTTTAAACGAATTTATTATCAAGCTGTACAATCGTATATATATGTTTTTTTTATAAAAATTTATATCCGGTGAGGGAATTAGGTCAAAGGTGTGAATACATGAAATAATAATAGTATGAAATGCAGTTAACATATTTGTGATTATAATCATAGTTTAAGGTCAAGTGGCACAATAATTAATGTCGTATACAGAATAATACATAAGGTGTATCGATTTTTGGAAAAGGGATCGTTGGCAGATAGTTCATACTGTATCTTGTCCACTGATGACATTTTGTGGAAAGACAGATAAAGATACTGTTCATCTTGCTATGCAAGAAAATTTCCTATCTACTGGCTGAACAATGTAAAACTGAGCCTTTATTAACCTCGTTTTCTACTGAAATAATTTTCCAAATTATCGACCGATAGCTCATATTCTTGAAGAAGACAATGTTACGGTTCAAAAGTTTACCTCTCACTACTTTTGATGACACACTTCAGAGTACAAGTGCCATGACCAAAATATCTACGTCTCGAAGCTCATTGCCCACATCAGGTCACTAACCAGTTGAATTCCCCAATGGAGCACGTCGTATCAGCAACTCATGGCGAACCGCACAACGCAGGACTGAGTCTACACTGTGCCGTAAGTCAAGAGGATTAATAAAGGCCTAAATTCCACTGCATCTGAAATATATCTAGCCTCAGAATCTCTTAGTGCAGCTGCAAATCCCAACCCGGAAATGAATAGTTTACAGCAGCTATTCACGATGGTATTATATTAACAGTAGTAATATCGCCATTGTCGAACATAACAGCAAAGGAAATAATGGTGAAAGCAACCATTTGAACTGCATACTTTAGCTATTACTGAAAATGAGGTGGTTCTCACCTGGGTGAATCCAGTGAATACATAAGTCTGTAAGGCCGTATCGCATATCATGTACTTTAACCGGCTCAATAAATGATATGTCATTTAATAAATCAAACACGAACAAGCTCCTCGGTGGCGTTAGTGTGGGTAGCACAAGTACCAAAGTACCCTAACTCCCCAGCAGGAAAAATGGCCTGACCAATCACTGCATCATAAACACCTTAGACCCACTGAATTGGCCCACGCCAGTGTCACCGAGGATTATTCTGATGGCACGAGCAGGGTGCCATCATCCTGACTAATTATTAGGTGTTTAGCCTACTGCCGGTGCTGCCGTCTGTCGCGCAACGTCTCAACGGTGTTTATAAACGACACGCTGAACCTAAATTGGTACCTTTTTTCTGGTTGATGACTACTCAAGTCTTGCTGAATAAAGTCGCCTCAGAACACAATCGCTGATATTTAGCTCTTCCATCAAAACAATTGCTCAGTCTTAAGACAGCCAGGAAACACAGTCGTTACATATTTAGAGGTAGTAGACAACTCATCACTGACGGTACTATCCCGTCAACCATTTAAATGGATTAGGCAGCAACCAGAAGGCCGCGCATGGTGTGACTGACATGAATATTAGCGAGATCGCTAGTCAGATTTCGTGTAGGAGCCATTGATGTGACAAGTTGACTATCCGGAACAGCGTGTGCACGGTCAGGATTAGGGGCCTAGTACCACCAGTGTGGTGAGAGCTGTCTACTAGCCAAATTGGTAGACAGTAATTTACGTCAATATTTACGTTCCCAAGATTTGTCGTGAGAAAATGTGAACAAAGATTGATTCAAAACCGACCACAGCAGACTCTGCGTAGGCGGATGCAGTTAACATATAGAGGATTTGACATTCAAGAAACAGTCACAAATAGATGAAAGATTAACTTTACGTGAGAAACAACTAATCGGAAGACTGTGTTTGTTTGCTTAAATATCCATAGTAATGTGCATGAAAATATATAAATATGCGTTGATTTCCTTAATAAATGATCTGTTGCCTGACTCTTACCTTCTGTCGTTACACCAGTAGCTCTGATACAGAAAACTGCAGCTCCCCCTATTAGCGATGCATAAACCGAAAAACTTGAGAAAATTTTGATGGCGAAATTTCGGACTCTAAATAGAATGTCTACATCTTGTCATCACCTTCTTTCACATCTAGATATCTAATTATCGCCCACACACAGCAAGATTCCACATCTGCTTTCACCCAAAATATTTTTAGTGGAAGAAAATTTCGCGTATACCCAGACAAATGTCTTTAAAATTCTCCAAAACACCAGAAAAAACAAAGTTTAACATCTGAAAAATTGGACTAACCCAGAGTCGATAGTCGGTCAAAATGCAAAAGAGCTAATGAGATGCGCTCTAAAAAAGTGATAGACTAAAATTTGGCTGAAATATAACAACAATATTCATAGTTAGCAAGAATATAGGGATAGCGGACATGTTCGGCAGTCGATAAATCTGAGAAAAGTCCTGTTAATTTTTATGACGCTTTAGCTATACACAATTATGGCGACACAGCATGCAAGGTTGTTATGTCCAGGATTTATGGTTATGTATATATTCTACCTGTGTGACATCAAGACAGTCTTGTTGTCTTTCAGGCCTTCATTTTTGCTCAGAATATTATTTTCTAGGGATCTGGAATAATGTGATCATTTTGAATGGCTCGTAATCACGGGAGTTGGATGGGTCTGAAGCTTGTTTAAATTAGTGACTTAGCTAGGACCAGAATTTAGCGCGTAGAATTGCCTCGTGTTAACTGACTGGGGGAATGGTAGGTTGTCGATTCCAGTGCATAGATTTTGCCCATATCTCTAGTCTCGAAGCAAGCCCAAGAAGACAAGGAAGTTGCGTGGACATGTAAGTCATGGTCATGGGCGAGTCGGAAAGCACCGTAAACATCCTGGTGGTCGAGGTAATGCAGGTCTTGAGCATCACCATCGGATCAATATGGACAAGTACCACCCAGGATACATTGGCAAGGTTGGCATGCGACATTTCCACTTGAAAAGAAATCCTTACTACTGCCCAACCATAAACTTGGATAGACTGTGGTCTCTAGTGTCTCAATCCACCTATGAGAAGTATAAAGATTCAGCTGATGGCAAAGCACCAGTAATCGACTGTCTGCGTAAAGTAAGTGAATGCATTTTTCTCACTGAGATAATCTTCAGGGGTATTTCAAAGTTCTGGGCAAAGGATATCTTCCGAAAGTTCCTGTCATCGTTAAGGCTAGGTTTTTCTCCCGAAAGGCAGAAGAGAAAATACGAGCAGTTGGGGGTGCTTGTGTACTAACAGCATGAATAAATCTTAGCTAGACGGCCTGTTCATTCTTTTTATTTTACTGGTTGTTCTGAAGTGGCATGTTAACTCGTTTATGCTGCAAATTCTACCTCCTAGTTGAAACGCCAGCATTTCGCATTTACGTTAAAAAGACCATATGAGCGTAGGTACTCAGCCAACTATGTCAATTTCTTATGTGTGATCAATGTTCGCTAATGGTTATATGTGCAAATCCGCGAGCTTTTCTCGAAATGGCACTTGCGAAACGAGGTTAGCTAGTGTACGGTTTCTTAAGTATTGTCCTATGCACATGGTGACCCGGTTCCACGAGTTTTTCCAACAGGTTATGGTGGTGGCGTGAACGTCACCGATGTTTCTTCCTTTCGTTGAGTCCAAAGATGTTATCCTACGATGTAATCGCGGTTTGTAAACGGCTTGTTGGTCTTTAGGGGACTTGAAGCTAGTTTGTATCTGAGACGAGGCATTCACAGAAAAAAGTGAGTGCTGACGGCCGTTAGGTAGAGTAGTCATATCCTACTGTGTTTTGGTGCTATTCAGACTTTCGAAGTCGCTGACAGTTTCTAGTGTCCTAACCGTGTTCGTTACTCTACGCACCTAGTTGTCAACTAAACTGGTTAATAAATGCAGGTTATCCTGCTTTTCGACGCATCCTGGTTCGAGCACTTGACCACAAGTTATTCGTCACAAAAAGTGTCAAAACGGTTGGCAACATTTCGACAATTTCTATCCAAGTTACACCTCTACGATTGAAGTTCTCTGTTACTGCAGTGTTTCCTAAGACTTTGGATGCCAATGACTAGTGTTCATGAAGTAAGTGACGCATGGTGTAAGTTCTGTTATAGGCATTACCAAAGATAAATTTGTCCTACAAAATGTATCAGCAAACACAGGTGTGGTTTGGCTAACGAGTTTATAGCCACTGTCTAATTCAACAAAAGTATCATAATGGTTTTGCATCAGTCGTAGTCTATTCATCAGTAGTCGACTTCTGGCGAAATAAGCCTTAATCTATTGTCATCTGATTACGAAGTAATATAGCTGAACCCATACTGATTAGCTATCAATTTGGTGCTGTTTGATTGTATTGTCAGGCTTGTCTCTTTTTCGCACAGACATGTAGGCTTTTCAATGTCAATATAAGAATGACGTTGAAAGGACCATAATTACCAAGATTTATGTTCAAGATTATGGTAAACTGTTTTAGGCATGTTACAAGGAATTGATTTCTCTTCCTTATTAAGCGCATCCTAGAACAGGGTGACAAGTGTTGTACTTGAATCCACAACATCCTTCTTTTCAGTTAGTTCTCCAAGAAATGCGACGTTTGAAACTATGCTGCAAAGTGATCACGCTGACTGGATTCAACATAGTGATCACGGGAGTATCTTTATCAACAAAGAAATGTCAGTTAGGTAGGCTGAGAATAATCGGGGAGAGACTGAATAAAATACAATAAGTATGTTTTAAAATTGTGTCTTCAGTCCCCATACTATCAAGATAAGCGGTGTGTCGCGTTTGTTTGCTCGAAGGTGGACTGACACCTTCATATGATAGGCGTAATTTCGAGGTAAATTGCTTTGACAAAGTATGTTGTACTATACAGCCGTTTACAAGATACTAATTTCGAGCAATTTTCTTTGCTCAGTTAATCATTTACAGGCAGCTCTATCTAAATGTAACCGTGATGCTACCACATAATAGTTGGGTCGCGAAACAGATATATATACGCCACTAGTTTGGCAATAAAACGGAGGGAATTATTTGTATTAGATAGTTAGAAATCTTACTATTAAATAAAGCTTAAACTATTATCGCGATTTCGACCACTTTGTATCGCCTGGGTACTACGTTGCAAGTTAGATAGTCCAAAACAACAAAATGCTCGGCACCCATTATTTTCCTAGACAGATCAGAACGAATATGTACATGTCCCGAAAACAGAATTAACTATTAGCTGTAGCTTCAGTGTCTTTGTTCAGACCATGAAATGATACTGAATGCTTGGAAATAATGTGTTCAAAGATGCGCTAAAAATTCGTAACCACTTAGCGATTTCCCTTTAACGGTAAGCACAAAATCCATTTGCACTGGTGGTATAAGACACAAAATTGATATTTGGCTAATGGATTTGCACGAAGTAGTTTACATTTCACCCAGTATTTTATTAAAGCAAAGTAACAGAACCAGATATTTGTGGCGGTTTAAAGCACATTAATCCGTTCTCCACCGCAGTCGAATTTATTGGAGCAATTCTATCCAGATATTTATTATAATGAAAACAACCATCGTGTATTTTGTTCCTAGTAAACTGTTCATTTAAGATTGTCTGAAAAACATGGTTTTGTTCTTGTTATGAGTGCAAATGATTGCGGAATAATAATGTCTATTTCAGCCAGTGAAATAACTTCTCTTAGTGAATCCAAATATTGATTGGGCACCACCATCATAAATAAGTTGTTACCACGTGTCATATCGATGCATATACTAATGTAACTGCTTCTGTACCCCTTGTCATGTAGGCCATACACAGAGGAACTCATGTTTACGCATTCGTAAATGTACCAGTTGGACGTAGTAAAGAAGTGGCCATTGCAAAGTTATCGCATTTATTTGACGGTGAAAATATCAAAAAGCCGGCATTCAGTCATACAGTGTGGGATGACTCGTTTAAAGACGTTGTTACGTCGTTTATTCACGGATAAAGGCAACAGGAATCAATAAGAACACGCCTAACCTGTACGTTGAAATTGTTACATTCAACCATGCATCTAACCAGTTAATGCTTCCATGTCCATCCAGTAATCTCACTGCTATTCTTACCATAATTCACACCAGTATTATTAATTTTCACATGGTCCGGGATTCGATCCCTGTCTGACGCACACGTGATATCAATGGAAGGCCAGCTATATTTGGGCTGCCAACATCACCTGCTAGAAATTCCATACTTGTACCAAAAATGCTGTGTGGAATCAAGCTATAGTAAAAAAAGCAAAAATTGATATTGCCAAAATAGTATTGTAGCCGTCAGTCATCCGTTCGACTTATATTTAGTGCATTTCATTTGCTTAGTTGTTTCTTTTAAAATCTCTTATTTGCTCTCATCACTCACTTCTTGAAAGTTATACTTCTACCATAAATTCATAAACGTGTCATATAGACTGACTGATTTAAATGTAGAACTTTGCACTGATTTGCAGCACTTCGAGTTGCCACACTTTACTTAGCACCCAAAGCAAAAAAGAAATGCCAAAGGCAGTAAACAGAGATATGAGACAAGAAGAATAGTAGTATCGAAGATCAATATAGTTTTATTGGGTATTATAAGTCACAAGGAGTGGATGCATCTGCTCCATTGAGAACGATTGGTTCTTACCGTCCCGAGGACCCCAACCAGGAAGTCTGCACCTTCCTACGTGGCTTGAACTAACCGTTGTGGACTTCATTGACTGATGAAGCCATGTTTTGGTTTGACCGCCACTGGCTCTTTTCTAACCTGACCCCATGTCAGCTAACATTGCCCATTGTCGAGGAAGGCGATGACTAGGCATACGTAACACATGTCCTACCCATCTCAATCTATGTAGCTTTACAGCCTCGTCGATTGATTTCCCCTCCTTACCTAGCACTTGACCGATGCCTAACCTCAATATTGCTCACCTTATTATACATCTTCACATGGGAGATAGAACGCAGACACCTATGGTCAACGTGCTATACCACTTCACTCCCTGTTTCTAAGCTAGGAGTCAATGTATTCCGGTCCTGTAACATCATCTTACATTTGACAGAAGCAAATCACATGCCAAACATTCGCAGAGTGCTGCTCAAGGTGTTCAGAAGACTACATTTTGTCATCGTCTTCACTTCGGAGGGAGGACTATATCATCTGTATATTCCAAGTCAACGAGATCATTCCCGGATGGTAACAAGTCAATCCGTGAAGTCAGTTAGGGTCAATCCATTAGTATATCTATCATGAAATTAAACAGAAATGCTGCTTTCCGACCAAGAAATATGACGATTGTTAGACACCGGTGAGTATGCCTATGTTCCAGAATCTGTCGAAGGGTGAAGAAATGATCAATACACCCTCTTCCTGGATTAAAGCCTGTCTAGTTCTCTCGTGTTTGTTCCTCCCGTAGGCCGCTTAGTATACGTATTATTATCGAGCCTAGAACTTCAGATAATATACTGGTCAAGCTAACTCCCGGTGATTTATCACAGGAAGACTTGTCTCCCTTCTTGTACATTGGGATAATCAATGACTTACACCAGCACGACGAGACTATCTCTGATTCCCATACGATGGCTAATACTTTAGTTAATTCAGACAGTAAACTGTCTGCACAATCCTTAAACACCTCAGGAGTCATTCCATCGGGTCCCTCAGCTTTACATTGTTTCAGACTAGTTACAGCTTTAGTAACCTCAGTTAGGGACGGAAGACCCGTGTCTATATCCCATTCAGGGAGATGTCGCATGCTGGGTAAGTTGATTGTGGCCCATTAAACTGCTCCTTAGAATGTCCTTTCCACTTGTCTATACTGGAGCCAATTATGCTGCCATTTTTCTCAGAGATGGTTTCACTTTTCATTTGCCTTTTATCATCTATTTCCCTGATAAGCCTGCATAATTGTCTGTTACCAATCGCCGATGCCTTTTCCATCTCCGTAGCTTTTGTCGCCCACCACTGTTCACGGTTGTTACAAAGACTGCTTGTTAGTTTGCGTTTGAGCAGCTTTCGCTCCTCATCATATTCGGCGCACACCGGGATCAGTCCTCTTGCATCAGTCAGTTCGGATGAGATGGTAGTAATCCAATGGCTCCTACTACCTTCAGGTCTCAAGTTATTAATAACTTCAACAGCTGTCTCATGTAGATATTTTACATATTCTTATTGATCCCACATACACGGTAATCGGAACTGACTATTACTTCATCTTGTACGGCAGTACACTCTTTTATTTGCATTTTTATAATATTAGTGGATTAACCGTTATTCAGCCTGAAGATGTTTTTGAAAGCAATTGCTCGTCCTTATTTACCCCTGTATTAAATAATGTTTTTGACAATACAAAGTACGCAAGTTCACTCCTCTAACTCTAAGCATTCAAGTTCGTTTCCAGCTAATGTTAACAATTATTTCTTCGAAGTAATAATTTTGGCATCGTAAACACAAATACGCATTTCCGAATGGGTATATAAGTTATTAAAACATTTTATTTTCCTAAATGACCCATATTTAAATAAATAGTATTTAGCATAAATATAAGCATAAATAGATGCCATGTGACATCTTGTCTGAATCTGTCAAGAGGTAGCAACTACGGACTAATTAACGATTAGACGGCAAATAAGTGCTTCATACGAACATAGTTGAATGTTATAGTTGCCCCTAAAGTTGGTTCGTCGTTCTAAACTCAAAGATAATTATTATTCGGCGCGGTTCTTGTGAACACATGAGTTCGTTCCTGCCAAAAGGAAATTCAGCAGTAATATCAGACAAAACAGACTATTTTAGGAAAATCCAGATTAGTTGACCTTAATAAAATAAGAATTCTGAATAACAGTTCAACTTTAGCACTATATACGACTACACAGCCATACGATAGGATGGAATAAAATGTCAGTCCTAAAGTCTAACAGACTATTGTGGAGGGATTGAAAACGGAAGCTTACTTATTGAATTAACTGAAAGTACGTGTACTAAAGATAACTAAACACTTGTCCCTATAAAACGAAAGTCTCGAATTTGCTGTTATAGCTGATATGATTACGAGCAGAAAATTGTGTTCGTAACGTTCTTCAGTAGGTGATACTGTTTCACCGCATGGTATATCTAATAAGCAAATTAATGCGGAACCGCTCAAGTTTTACAGATATATTAGTCTAGCCTTCACAAGCTAAATATCATATTTACGTAGTTATTCTTTTTGACGTCTGAATAAAGCGAGAACATACTGTGCAGGTTAAAATATCGTACTTATATTCCGTTGGTTCTTTTCAGCTGTGTGCAATCATGTACAACCTAACATCAATATCCAAATACTGTAGCTATTGGTCATAAAAATGATCAAGAAGCATAATTCTGTTATCTTAATTATATTTTATTTCGACAGCACAATTGCCTATCCAAGTTTTGTCTCTCTTCGCTGCCAGACTATTTAAGGAATTCATCCAGAAAATTATTTGGCCCTTGCATAAGTGTATTTCTGAATCTTCGTCACTACTCAATTGGTAACATTCGTTCGTAATCCTTCAATACTTCCAACCCGTTTCTGCAAATACCACATGGGGTTAAAAACCGCTTTTATACCATTCCTTACGCTACTTTGTCACTTTATAGTATTTTCTACAACTCTAACGATCAATGGCTACAGTATTTGGATGTTAGGTACGTTGATGGTTGTCACAACGAAGCAAAATGACGTCAAGCCATCCTGCACTTAATGTTCCCCTTGCTATGTTCAAGCAATATATCCGGTGCCATGTTACTCTGAATGGTGATTGCTTTTGATGAAATCTACCTCTGACCAGTTTTTACTATACAGGCATTATTCTTCGCCTGATGAGCAAATTCTTTGATTATCCTTCAATATTCGAAAAATTCCACGATTTATTGCTAACGTTAAATGCAACGCAAAAATGTGTACTGCACATACAGTTAGACGTTGTTTGTCCACAATCCTAGCTTTTCGTCTCGAAATACTTACAAAGCTTTGTTATACAATATACATGTCATTAAACGAAAACATACGAATACTGATTCAATAAAGTTTGACTAAATTTAATAACCTACATACATAATGAAGAACCAAGACAGTCAGCAACATTGATAGAGCAAGTGAGTTTACCAAAAGTGAAGTTTAATTCTCTCTATATTATATATATATATATTAATGAATAGTTGTTTACAAACATATCAATCCTAATAGGCCTTAAGAATATGGTGTCTAACAAGTCATAATCTATTACAAGCTGATGGACAACTTAAAATACACAAAGTCACATTCCCAAGGCAACCTTGGTCACATGCCTAGATTACAAATCCAATTAGAAAACTTTCAGTAACCTACTGTTGATTAAATAGAATAACACAACATACCAATCACTAACGACAGGAGGAATAAAGAGAAAGTTCTCTTTCTCACCTACTCGCGAGGAAGTTAAGCTCAGTTAGGATCCGGAAAAACAGTTCATAATTATGAATTCAATCCAAGCCCTTCGCAGTAGTACCAAGCTGGTTCAGAGATGCTGCATCACGTCAGACATTTCCATCGGGCAACTACCTTCTCTTGATTGTGTATGTAGAATGGCCAACCAGAAAGAACAAACGAAGAAACTAAACGGTGCAAAAATGGACAGGCGCCTACTGTTCAACAAATGTACGGATAAAAATAGAGAAGCGTGAGGCAAGCCCTACGTCGAGGGAACATCGAAGTGATACCATACGCCTCGAACGAAACCCTGGTGGATACCAATGAGTTTGGCGTTGATCCGACGATAATGTCTACCGGAAATGAAAGCTTACAGACAGGCAGTTAAATGTCACGGCGGAAGACCGACAGCAATCAGGACCTATTACTACTCGGAGTGAATAATGACACCACAGCTGTGGCTTACACAGCAAAACGTTCAGAAAATTCTTGTTTTGATTTTCTTAACACGCTGGGATTAATTTAAATAATTTATAATGTTCCCAATTACCTACACAAAGTAACAACGGTAGCATACAATTGTAAAATTGAGGGAGACAAGGTGGTACTTTTCAGTAAAAAATTTTAGTGACGGTCCTATCCTTAATTATCCTTCCAGACAACGTATATATGTAAAGAGTTGGATGCAACAGACTTTTAGTAAACAGAAAGGAATTCTAAACAGACTTGATATGTTTGCATACATACCTGCTGCCTAGAATATATATCACTAACTGGTTTTATCATAGCTCAAGTTTTGGACTGGCTGTAACTTGTAGTCCTATTTTGAACAATTGATGAAATTAAATTTCGTTAGAAAAGAAACTAGTGCTATAGACATCCTTATAAAATTTGTGGTTATACACACCAAAGCTTGCACCAAACCAGAAGAGGCACCTTCACTTGGTCACAGACGAATATAAAAAGAATACGTGCGCCCTATTACAATTCTGTCTACCTGTAACTATTTAGCGGCCTTACAGGGACATAAGCCCATAAGCAGACAGTCAATTGGAGTGAGAAGTCGGTCCAGTGCAGAGAGGTCTTATAATAAGTCAAAAATCAATTCACAAAAATCCTTACATTTTGAAAAGTCAAGGGATTAGAAATGGATATAAGTAGTGCATTAGCAGGGTGGTTTGCCAAAATTATTCCGACACTGTCCATGATGCACAGGAAGGTTCGTATTTAACCAGTTAGCGACTAAAAGGAATCGAAATGATACGAATTAAGAAACAACATACCATAATTGCATTGACCATATCATTGTTATTTTCACGTAATGCTCGAATAGCCTTGCTCCTTGATACTCCCGCTTGTTGCATGATAAGTTCTATGTCCTTTTCACCCAAACCAGTGGCATCAGGCTACACAAAAACCAGTAAGAACAATGTTATCTTACTTCTTCCTCATCTTCAGACTCTTCGGCAATTGCAGTCTTAGAAACTGACGACACTACGTCCTTCGACAAACTACCTGACGTTCCTAGATCTGTTCCTCCCATAGCCTGACTGCGCAGCTTTTCCGCCGCTGCAATTTGGGCTTGGGCAGAGATGTCCTCTACTTTGGCCTCACCAAATATAATGTATGTGTCAGAGGCTGACGACTTATAAACCTCTGCGCGACTTATCACAAACATAATGCTTTTTGCCTTTCGAATAGTAACGCGGCACACTCCCTGAACCAATTTTAATCCCAACTTTGACATCGCTTTCCTTGCTTTCTTCTCACTACGCGATTGTTTGCAACGACTTAACAATTCATCGGCTAGTTGAGAAGATTTAGCATCTCCCGGTTCCTTAGTATCTTCAATATCTGGAGCGGAGTCATCTGAATCACTTCCTGTATCTGATGCCACAGCTTTGTCTTCATTTTTATTAGCCACACTTGGAACCATCCCAACAACCAACTGAAAACAAACCACGAGCTATCAACTTTATAATCCACTCCACACTTGGCCTTAATCATTCAAACAAATTACCGTAATCCCAAAGAGGGATTAAAAACTGAGATCTTCACACGTCGTCTATTGTTACTATTTCGCGTTATCAGAAGTTATTAAAGTAAATTAGTTTGTCGAGGATAGGTATCTGAGTATTACACATCAAGATTCAGGTTTTTAAGAAAAGAAGGCTCTTGTGGCCTATGTTATTCCCTGAAAAATATATCGCTGCAGAGATCTACTTCCTCTTTGAAAGCGTTCACCGATGGTACCGCTACTACTTAATTAGGTAAGGGGTTCCAGGCGTTGACCACTCTGTGTGAGAATCTAAATTCCACACGTATTTTACTCAACCTCGGTTTGAGCACTTTCGTGTAGTGATCTCGTAAATGTATTCTAGAAAGGGAGAAAAGATTTGGAAGGTCAATCTCCGAATCACCCTTAATATACGGTATGAAAAAATTAAGTCGCTTCTCCTTCGGTATGATAATGGGAAGAGATTTAAATTGTCTATCCTCTTATCATAAGGAAGGTGTGAGATACCACTAATTTTTTAAATTTTTTTATATTTTGATTTACAGCTTGATTCCACACCGTATTTTCAGTACAAGTATGGAATTTTCAGCATGGATATCGGTAGCCCAAATTCAGGCCGACCATAGATATCGGGTCTGCGCCGGTAGGGGATCAAACCCCGGACCATGTGCATGGTCGGCGAGAGTCCTAACCACTGTGCCACCGACGCACGCTTCCTACCTCTTGTACTTTTTCCGGAATATGTGCCTCCTTTCTGAAACATGGACTAGCCGCTTGTGTGCATTATTCTAGATGAGGACTGATGTATGTTGCACAGAGTACTTTAAACATAGACTCATCTAATCGTTTTAAAGCTCTTCGGAGTGCCCATAGCATTCGAAAAGCCTTAACTGCGGCTGCATTGCAATTTTCAGTTGTGTTTCAAATCACTGTTGACAATGATTCCTAGGTCATTCTCTCCGGTAACATCAAGTAGTTCTGTGACCCCATGGAGTATGACCTGATCTAGGTGCATTACCATACTTTTCTTGCAATTAATTTCCAGACTCCAGAGGTTAGCCCGTTCAGCTAATCTGTTTAGATAGTTTTGTAGTACCAACCTATCATCACTACTATTTACAGTTTTCCATATTTGAATATCGTCTGCAAATATTGAAGAAGATGAGTTAAGAATTTTTGGCACTTCATTTGCGTATAATAGGAATAGCAGGAGGCCAAGTACAGTTCCCTGAGGTACTCCACTTAGTATTGCTTTCCACCCTGACAGCACACCATTGACCTTTACCTTCTGCCTTCTATCCATCAGATAGTCTCTTATCCACTTACATAGGAGCTGGTCTAATCCAAAACGTTTGAGTTTATCAAGTAGATGTAAATGGGATACCTTATCGAATGCTTTACTAAGATCGATAAAGGAAACGTTCAATAGATGACTCTTATCCCTGGCTTCCATCCAACCTTCCCTAGCTAACAGCACGTTTGTCAGGCACCATCGTCCTGGTCGGAATCTATGCTGTTCCACTACCAGTAAGCCATGTTTCTCCACATGAGCTAAGGTTCGATCCCTCATGAGCGTTTTCAATACCACTGCTATAATGTACGTCACATTTATATGCCGGCATTCAGATGCTAACTGCCTGTTCTCCTCTTTAAAGATGGGGTTTATAAAAGCATCTTTCCAGTCCCTGGATAGTCTAGCCTGGGTCAGAGACACTTGAAAAATCACCGCATGTGATTTTCTACATTTATACGTATATATGTAAGTGTTTATTACACACACACCTATTTATGTAATAAACACATATGTTTATGTTAATTTACAAACACCTCGGAAATTAGGTCTCAACATTTTTTCGGGATACTAACAAAATATGCCGAGGCGATATGTTAGATTACAGCAGGTGAAGACCCCAAACAATTTGCCAATAGACAGAGTAGGAGCACTTTAGACGCTGCAGCCGTCTTACACAACAGTATCGTCTCATCATTAGATAAAGGTGCCAAATACGTCCGCTGCACGTTTATCGACTTCATTTCTGCTTTCGACTCGTACCTAGATGTCTCCTGCTAAATAAGCTCTCTGTGACAAAAACTGAGTCCTGGGTCACTAACTGGTTGCATCCCTACTTCTCTAACAGAATGCAGTACACCATATACAAAGGTAAATCCTCCTCCGCCACGCTCACTGAAGCTGCTGCCCCCCAGTTCTCTTTTCTTTCTTTCCACATGACTCACCATCACCAAATGACATGAATTTTGTCAAATATGCTGACGACCTGACTGTATCTTTGCCTATCAAATGTCAATGTGACTGCTCTAAACTTAATGGCTTTCTGTCAGAAATCAGCCAGTGGTCCAAGGAAAATGTTCTTACCCTAAACCCCTCCAAATGCCAAACGGTCAATTTCACCTTTAGGCATAAATCCGACCTAAACAAACTGTTTGGCTCTTACGAGGTATGCAACATAGACGGCACTGAAATAGAAACCAAATCGGACATTAAATACCTGGGCGTCATTCTATCTGCTGATCTTTCCTGGTCGTCTCATATCTTAACGATTTCTAAGAAAATATTCCGTCTTACCTTCTACATCAAGAAGTTAATATATTCTGGTATAACCCAACCCTTACTCCGACAATTCGTTAACTCTTGCATCCTGCCTATTATTCTCTATTGCTCCGCCTTAGTTTTTCCAGGGCTACTAAAGAAAGACTATATCTTGTTACGCAGGATGCTAAAGGTTGTCAGCAGGGTAAGCAACGTGCCACTTGGCCAGCTTGTTAATATTCTGGTCGACAGGCACATGGACTCATGTGAAAAATGGGCCAAGTCCATTTTATCTAACTCACACCACCCTCTTCATTCACAACTCTCCCCTTGCATCTCATCAGGTAAAACCAGAAGCCTATATAGAAAACTATATGCTCGCACCAGCAAGTAAAAAAACTCAACCATACCCTACTTAGCTCGTGTTCTGTGCGATAAAGAAAGCGTTAGGCATGATACCTATAACTTATTACATAGTCAGTAGAACAACTGGATCTCGTCTTTCCAACTCATATCATTTATGGGTACAAAATTTTCTTTCCTTCTTTCCCTTTTCTCTCCCTCTTTTTTCCGTTATGTGCTGCTTTGTTTCTTTCTTCCGCTTACGCCAGTAAATATGATAGCACCTACTTTTCTAACACCTTCAAACAATGTTTAAACTTTGGCTTTGCTACTGACATGCCAATGTATTGTTGTAATAATGAACTGTGATTTCCTCAATCTATGTAGAATTTTTATTTATTGATAATGTACTAGCTGGATGCAATACTGTAGTAAAAATGCTGAGAATTCCATTCTGTATCACGAGTACTGTTTTGGAATAAAGCAAATTATTAATTTTATTATTAAGCAATTTAACGTTTTGTGATATCCTGTCATATGCCCAGTTCCAGATATAAGTAGTAAACAGAAAAGATAATTACGTGAACGACACCTGAAGTAACAGATTTCTAAGTTTTTATTCTTACTCCATATGCCAGTGATAATCGGTGATTTGGATCAATCCGCCGTCTAAGTGAAAAATCCATATCCTTCCCTAATTTCTCTCCATAAACTTTGGATTAGTTACAATACACACGTTTCCATTTTCGAACATGTGCTGGGCTCTTGCACCACAACTGAGCACTGAACTCAAAAATATGTTGAGTACACTATCCCATTTACACTGATTAATGCCAATGAAGACCATGGGGGGAAATCACAATGCTAAAATCCATTCGCAGCAGTAGCCTACATGGTTCTGCTCTTTTGTGGGTTCATAAATTGCAACGGGGCCGATAGCACTGTTCGCAGTTATACTTAGTTCCAGTAAAGCCGATTATTGTCTGTTCACGCAGATTTTTAAGACCACTGTGCATAACGACGACCTTAATTTTGTTAATATCAATCTGAATGACACCCTCAGCTTATTGGATGTAATATCCAGTCACCTGATGTAATAACTTCCAGTATTGTTGTAATGAAACACGGCGGGCAGAAAGAAATTATAGTTCTGGTGCGCATTGATTCAAAAGAGGATGGAATTTCCCAAGTTTCTGACAAGACCCGGTTTTGTTGTACTCATCACATCAAAAACCTTGCACTTTCACTAGGTATTGATCAGCTAGCTCTAGTGCTTTTTCAGTTATATAAGTCTTGTGATGCTTATCGACGAAAATTTTTCTTTGAGTTTTATTTACTCTAATTGATCTTCCTCTTAGTTGTGGAAGGTCTGGTTGTTTATTCCCTATAGAACGTAAGCAATGTTGTAATTGCAGCACCACGTGGCACCACAAGATGTTTGCGGGATTTGCCTCAACCAATATCGGGCTGTGGATTCAGGGCACATCACTTACTTTAGTCTGCAACAGTCATGCGTCGCTTTTCGCAGCTGTGGGGTCCACTGGTCATAATGTGGTTCATACAGTTGATGTGGACTGCAGCCCAGTTGCTGGTGCTGCGAGGGTCACCAAGTCGGCCAATTCACCTGTGTTTTCGGGACCTCAAGTGAAGGGACTGCTAGTCTGAAAATCTGCACGGGAAAGATACGCAAGCAAATCAGATATAGCACGCATACCCCGAAACTTTCTGTAGACATAGTAGGCGGAGTAACGAATGATTTTGAACAGACAATTAGTGTCAGTGTTACAGTGGGAAATGAAGCCAAGTTCAAGAATGATTTGGAGACAAATCGGAAAATTTCATCTACGTAGGGACAGCGAAAATGGCTTTTCAAGTCTTTCAAAAGCTTTCTTCAAAGACTTTGACCAAGTCGGATCTTCTCAGGGACCTACATGTAGTTTAGAAGGTGAGGTTTAACAGCTTCCTGTCATCATAGCAAGTTCTGAGTAGTGGTGCAACTATATGTATACTTCTGGGCCACCTCTCCTTGTATACGACCTGAACTGGACAACGCTAACAACTAAATCATTCTATATAATGTTTGGCAGTGGCATTAATCAGTGGAGAGCTGAGG